TGATCGGCTGCCCTCTCTGCCCCCCACCCCTCCCTTCAGCTGGTCAAGCAGGTGTGCGCACACGTGTGCGCATATGTGTGTGCACATGCATGTATGTATGCACGCGCGCACATGTGCGCATGTCTGTGCACGTGTGTGAGGAGCAGATCTCATGCTCCTGTGGGCGGCAGGGGCGGAGACAGGTGATGCCCCACTGGGAGGCCCTCAGCCCCCTCTGCACGCAGCCCCGCCCGGGGGTTCCTGCCTCCCCAAGTCACTCGGTCCCCGGGCCGGGCAGGAGGGTGACCCGGTATCTGTGGCCGCAGGAAGACACGCAAAGCCGGCCAGGCTCCTCCGGGCGACGGAGGTCCTGGTGGAAGCGGGATTCCGGGGACTCGCGGACGTTTTCCAGGATGAGCCGTTCGGAGGTGCGTCTGGTGGGAACGGGGTCAGGGAGGTGGACCGCCCCCCAGGGCTCCAGCCAGAGGACCAGGCTGAGCAGAGGAGCGGTGCCGGAGCCGAAAGCTGCCCACACACCTCCCTGCTCGGCCGCATGTGGTTGAGGCTGCTGCCTGCTGCACGGGCTGCGGAAGGTGCTGGATTCTGTGGGCTCCCAGCAGGGAGGGGGCACTGCCCCTGAGGCCACCTGTCTGTCATCGGGGTCCCTGGCAGTCCTCAAGCCCTGCCGGCCACGCCCAGGCCAGGCAGGCCGCGCCCTTTGCTGCTTTTCCCTCCGCATTTGTGACCCGGGCGGGCGGCTTGAGCACCAACGGCCTCATTGGCGACCAGAGCTCACAGCGAGTGAAGAATGAACAACATGGGGGAGGGAGGTGGGGGAGGGGGGCATGGAGGCTCTGACAGCTGGGAGCAGAAGCCCCTCCCCTTTGCTCCCCAAGTCCCCTGGGGCTGGAGGGCTGTGGACGGGCTGCCCCTGAGTCCTGGCAGGTGGGAGCGGGGACAGGAGGCGGCCAGCCCCCCTAGGCGGCTGCAGCTGGCTTCCTGCAAAACGGCTCTCCTGGAGGAGGCAGCCCCAGCACTGGGCCCATGGCAGGACGCGCACGTGCTCACCCAGGCCCCGGGGTGCTCTGCTCCGTCCACGCAGGAGGCGACCGAGGTGACACTGAAGACCGAGGTGGAGGCCGGCGCCAGCGGCTACAGCGTCACGGGCGGCGGGGACCAGGGCATCTTTGTCAAGCAGGTGCTGAAGGACTCCTCGGCCGCCAAGCTCTTCAGCCTGAGAGAAGGTGCCCTGGTCGCCCGTCCCTGCTCCCCTGGTCCCATCAGCATGGGAGGGTCTGCAGGGGCCGGGCCAGCCCGGAGCTCAGGATGTCGCCCCCTTGCTGGGCTCTCTCCCCTGTGACAGGGGGGACACCTGCCCGCGCAGAGCTCCGTGGAGGGAAGGGCTGGGCACATGGCGACTCCCTCTTGTGCACACACCCCTGCAGGCCCCTCCGCACCCCTGCAGGCCCTCCATACCCATCCAGGCCTCTCCGCACCCCTGCAGGCCCCTCCACACCCCTCCGCACCCCTGCAGGCCCCTTCGTCCCAGCAAGGGCGAACCTGGGGGAGCTAAGGCCACGACCCCTCTGTCTCTGTCTAGGGGATCAGCTGCTCAGCGCGACCGTCTTCTTTGACCACATTAACTACGAGGATGCTCTCAAAATACTTCAGTACTCAGAGCCGTACAAGGTCCAGTTCAAGATCAAACGGAAGCTCCCGGCTGCAGGGCCCGAGGACTGGGCCTCCAGCACCGCTCAGCGCGCCCCAAAGCACACAGGGACCCAGGTGAGCCCGCCGTGGCCCCGGGGAGGCCGGAGGGGGGGTGGCCCTGAGCCCAGGGCCGCGGACTGCTTGTACCGGCTCCAACCGGCTCCTCTCCCTGCCCGGGGTGCTCTGCTCCGTCCACGCAGGAGGCGACCGAGGTGACACTGAAGACCGAGGTGGAGGCCGGCGCCAGCGGCTACAGCGTCACGGGTGGCGGGGACCAGGGCATCTTTGTCAAGCAGGTGCTGAAGGACTCCTCGGCCGCCAAGCTCTTCAGCCTGAGAGAAGGTGCCCTGGTCGCCCGTCCCTGCTCCCCTGGTCCCATCAGCATGGGAGGGTCTGCAGGGGCCGGGCCAGCCCGGAGCTCAGGATGTCGCCCCCTTGCTGGGCTCTCTCCCCTGTGACAGGGGGGACACCTGCCCGCGCAGAGCTCCGTGGAGGGAAGGGCTGGGCACATGGCGACTCCCTCTTGTGCACACACCCCTGCAGGCCCCTCCGCACCCCTGCAGGCCCTCCATACCCATCCAGGCCTCTCCGCACCCCTGCAGGCCCCTCCACACCCCTCCGCACCCCTGCAGGCCCTCCATACCCATCCAGGCCCCTCCGCACCCCTGCAGGCCCTCCACACCCCTCCGCACCCCTGCAGGCCCTCCATACCCATCCAGGCCCCTCCGCACCCCTGCAGGCCCTCCACACCCCTCCGCACCCCTGCAGGCCCTCCATACCCATCCAGGCCTCTCCGCACCCCTGCAGGCCCCTCCACACCCCTCCGCACCCCTGCAGGCCCCTTCGTCCCAGCAAGGGCGAACCTGGGGGAGCTAAGGCCACGACCCCTCTGTCTCTGTCTAGGGGATCAGCTGCTCAGCGCGACCGTCTTCTTTGACCACATTAACTACGAGGATGCTCTCAAAATACTTCAGTACTCAGAGCCGTACAAGGTCCAGTTCAAGATCAAACGGAAGCTCCCGGCTGCAGGGCCCGAGGACTGGGCCTCCAGCACCGCTCAGCGCGCCCCAAAGCACACAGGGACCCAGGTGAGCCCGCCGTGGCCCCGGGGAGGCCGGAGGGGGGGTGGCCCTGAGCCCAGGCATACCCATCCAGGCCCTCCACACCCCTGCAGGCCCCTCTGCACCCCTGCAGGCCCCTCCACACCCCTCCGCACCCCTGCAGGCCCCTTCGTCCCAGCAAGGGCGAACCTGGGGGAGCTAAGGCCACGACCCCTCTGTCTCTGTCTAGGGGATCAGCTGCTCAGCGCGACCGTCTTCTTTGACCACATTAACTACGAGGATGCTCTCAAAATACTTCAGTACTCAGAGCCGTACAAGGTCCAGTTCAAGATCAAACGGAAGCTCCCGGCTGCAGGGCCCGAGGACTGGGCCTCCAGCACCGCTCAGCGCGCCCCAAAGCACACAGGGACCCAGGTGAGCCCGCCGTGGCCCCGGGGAGGCCGGAGGGGGGGTGGCCCTGAGCCCAGGGCCGCGGACTGCTTGTACCGGCTCCAACCGGCTCCTCTCCCTGTGTTCCAGGACGAGGATGTCGCCGAGGGGAGCGCAGACACACCCGTGAAGACGCTGGAGAGAGACGGGGACCAGGAGAGGCTCATCTCCAAGTCCAGGGCAGGCAGAGGCCGGCGGGCCCAGAGGGAGAGGCTGTCCTGGCCCAAATTCCAAGCCACGAAGAGCAAGCGTGGGCCCCGGAGGTCGCACAGCTCCTCCGAGGCCTACGAGCGGGGCCAGGCCCCCAATGGGTCCCCCACGAGCTCGGACACGGAGGCCCAGTTCCTGGCAGAGGAGCGGGAGCGGGAGCGGACGGCAGGGGCCGGCAGCCAGCGGAGGAGGAGGAGGTTCCTAAACCTGAGGTTCAAGGTGGGCTCCGGGAAGGGACCATCGCCGGTGGGGCGCCGAGGCAGAGTGGCCGGAGGCGGGACTATCCAGACCCCCCACCTTGCAGAGGCAGGGTCCTGGGGTGACAGCCGACAGGACACCAGGGCTGCGGCGCAGGGCAGGAGGGAGGGCGGGGCGGCAGAGACCCCGGAGGGGCCACCTGTTGTGAGCATGGAGGGTGGAACGGGCATGGCGCCCAGACGCCGAAAGAAGACAAAGGTGGGGCAGGGCCACGGGGAGAGTGTGCCGCGGGGGACAGCCGGGGCGGGCCACGGGGAGGGAGGCAGAGGCTGGACACGGGCATTGACAGGTGATCCCTGCAAGACCCTGCCGGTGAGGCCGCCCATGGGGCCACCAGCCGAGTACCAGACCCGAGCACCAAACCTACAGACGCCCACCTCCAGCTTTTCCACAGGAAAAGAGCTGGGCACCGCAGGAGGCAGGCAGGCCC